CGAAACACGTCATAGTGTTTGTACTTAATATATGCATTTCCAGACCCCAGTAATCAACAACTTTTTCAATCCCCTTAAAACTTACAATCTGAGCAAACGACTAATTTTTTTTAAGTAATTTTTTATTTTTAATTTGCTCAAATTGGCTATGACGGGAATCGTTCGCCATAACACATTCTTATGACAGATTGCAACTGTCATATGAATAGTGCAGCCGACAGTTTACTTATGACAACAAACACTCACTAAAAGTACTGGACTGAAAAATGACAACACTGGAACGATACAGACAACTGACTACAGACCAAGCTAGACTTAAACTATGGCAATTAGGCTAAGTAGAACTAAGTAGAATTAAGTAAAATTAAGTATTTCTGTGTTAATATAAGCAATTGAATCGCAAAGGTAAATACAACATTACATAAAAAGTATTAAGTAAGTAAAGTCATCCACGTATATTAAAATAAGATATATGGTATTTAGGCGTAATACAATCGTTATCAAAGTAGATAACAGCGCACACGACAATCCATATGTTTGTAAATAACAAGCAGAATTCTGAGCGTAGAAGAAGAGTTTATGTATTATATATTTATAAAGGGTAATTTAAATGTTTATTATGTGTTATACACTTGCATGCGTTAAAATAAAATACAAAAAATATATAAATATATTTATGTTGCTGAGTGACAGAGAAGAAATGGACTAGTAGGGAACAGACAATAGCAAGCGCCAGGCACGAGATAACACCGTCGTTATCAGTACAAACATCTGTTCCATTCATACCTCTACTTCCGCCCTATATAAATAATCAAACCAAGCACCGATCAATCCTTCACATTGAAGGAACATATTAAAACAATATTTGTTTAAAAAAAAATAAAGTTGTGCTAAGCCGTCGGTGGAATAAATAATTATTATTTAATACCTCTGTGCATAATTGTTGACAATTGGCACTAGAGGAGCTTCGAATGAATGTACACTTACAATAACACTATCATTCCTTACATCAACAAACAGACTTTCGAAACTCCATTCAACCACGAATAGCATCCAAACTGAAAGAGTGTATAATGTGTGTCACACTAGTTAATTAATTAATTATTAGTAAATCAACAGAAATTTAGTAATATATCTCCCAGTCAATCAAATCCATAGCATTTAAGTAGATAAACATTAGATTTTTTCCCTTTTATCCTCAGTAAATTAAATTTCTTTTTATTAGGTAGAACAATTTCTTATTATTAGTAAATTCATTTAGATCATAAGTATCAATAGTAAACTTAAGTAGAGTAGTCGCGATCAATTTTTACCGAATATCCAGGGAATATATCAGTGATAACTAACATCAAAATAATTAATCATCAATCAAAACAATCTCCAAATTCACATCTGAGTAAACGTATCATCAACCTCATATCAACTTCAAAACCCAACGCATTTCATCCATCATTAAGAGGCGTCCAGCGATATAATTAGCGCCCCGAATTTAGTAAGGGCTCAAGAGCTAATTACGAAATTACGTCACATCACATCACAACAGTATACCTTCAAGAACTTCAGAACACTACTCCAGCTTCATTCATCAGTTTACACAACTTCATTCTTCATTCTTCATTCTTCCAACTACTCAACTTCAAGAAACTCATCAAACTTCAGCAACCTTCCATATTTACCAGCAATTACCAGCAATAACCAGACTTCAATACATCCATCTAATTTCATCAACCTTCAGTATTTCAACAACATTCCCAAATTCATCATCAATCATATATCCAACTTCATCAGCCAACAGATCTTCTCAACCCAACTTAATTAAATCTATCACTGATATACGCCCGCCCACATTTCTTAGAGCAGGTTTAGATTAAGCAATCCCACCAAACATAGTTATAAGAAATTCATTCAAAACCATAGTTACCTTTAGTTTATAAAAAAAAAAAAAAAATAGTTAATAGTTTATAAGCAAGACCGACACACATTATAACCTCAAATGAGTCAAACCAAAAGGAGTGCAGAAAACTGTTGGAACATCTCCACACCGACATCGATGTCACAACGACACAATCTCACGGCGAGCACAATAAAAAAAAAAAAAAAAAAAAAAAAAAAAAAAATTTCTTCGTCCTTCATCTTTCCCAAACCCCAAAATCACCCCAAAACTAGGAAAAGAAAAAAAAAACAACCCCACCGGGGGGAGGATGTAGCGGATCGCTACAATAGCGCAAGTCACATGACTACGATGCGCGCGCAGTCACCCGGGTAGGCACGCGCAGCGAACCAAGAGCAGTACAGTGTAGTGTCGAGCGCCTGGAGCTGTACATCTAACTGGATAAGTAACTGTAGCCTAAGATGTCTAGCTAATAGAAGTAGGGGTTGGGGAAGGGTGTAGGTTAGGGCAGGAGTAATTAAATTATGTAACTTATTGGATTCTGGAATGGTCGTGGTCTGGCAATTAATATCGTAAATTAGAATTCACATTTGCTAAGTCTAGTAACCTTTTTCAAGTCTAGTAACCTTTTTCACGAATTAGAATAAGTTCATATATATATATTTCTCTGTTCACTATATTATAATTAGATACATTAAGAACATAAAAGCTGGCTGTGATAGGCAGCTAAGGTAATATTGTGCACTTTGACGAGTTAGATTAATTCTTGCAATAGAGTTGGGTTACGACAGGAAATGTGCGTGATTTGGCAGTGGTTAGAGGAAGATATATAGGGCCCAGGTATCTTCATTTACACTCATACTACTCCACATCATCACAACTTTTTTTAAATGGCGACCAAAAAACCGTATTTTGCGTAACAGTACAAATGTATACTTTTGGTATGTTTTTTATAAGTGTATTACCTACCATTTCTAACTGAAATAATTTCTGTTGCAATTAGTTCCACCTCAAACCCTATTTCTACTGCACTATATCCACAGTATTTTAGCAATTACAAAATACAGTACAAAAGGAAAAACACCAGTTGTTACTACTGAGCAAAGATTATACTAAAGATTACTCGATACATTGTAGCAGGACTTTTTTTATCCATGATTGTAGCATAGACTAACCAACACAAGTAGACTTCTCATCCCATTGTAAATTTTGAAGCACGTTTTTCGTGTCTAGTTCATGTACGTGACACATAGGCGCTAGTGTCGATGAAACTTTGTTTCCATTATTTTAGGGTTAATTTCTTGATTTGTGCTTTACTGTTTGGTTATATAACTAGGGGACAAGTTATTGTTTATGATTAGATCGTATTATTTGGCTAAACGAGTTTTTAAATGGCTGTGATAACGGGAAACAAATTGCAAACAAAACACGACCTCTACATAAACCGTACATGAACTAACAATAAAATTGTCTTCAGCTGTTCCATAAGGATGAGAAATCTACTAAGGGAGTATGTTTTATCTATGATTGTAGTAAAGGCTAGCAGTGTGGAGTGTGGGAACTGTTTATGACGATTAGATTAAGGTATCTGCAATCATAAAATGCGATGGGAAGGTAAGGAAACAGGTACGCGAAGTAGGAAGTGGTGAGGAAGTAGTAAAAGCAAACAGTCCGGAGTGTGGGAACTGTATATGACGATTAGATTAAGGTATCTGCAATCTTAAAATGCAATGGGAAGGGAGGGAAACAGGTTGGCGACGTAGGAAGTGGTGAAGGAAGTGGTCGAGGCAAGCTGGCCGGAGTGTGGGATCTATTAATGAAGATTACATTAAGGTATCTACAATCCAAAAATGCTATGGGAAGGGAGGGAAACAGGTCCGCGAAGTAGGAAGTATTGAAGGAAGTAGTAAAGGCAAGCAGTCTGGAGTGTGGGAACTGTTTATGAAGATAATATAAAGGTATCTGAAAACCTAAAATGCCGTGGGAAAGAAGGGAAACAGGTCAGTGACGTAGGAAGTAGAGAGAGAAGTAGTCAAGTCGTGCTGTCCGGAGTGTGGGAACTATCAATGATTATTACATTAAGCTATCTACAATCCTAAAATGCTATGGGAAGGGAGGGAAACAGGTCCACGACGTAGGAAGTTGTGAAGGAAGTAGTAAGAGTAAACAGTCCGGAGTGTAGGAACTGTTTATGACGATTAGATTAAGGTATCTGCAAACCCAAAATGCTATGGAAAGGGAGGGAAATAGGTGCGCGACGAAGGAAGTCGTGAAGTAAGTAGTAAAGGCAAGCAGTCCGGAGTGTAGGAACTGTTAATGACGATTAGATTAGGATATCTGCAATCCTAAAATGCCGTTGGAAGGAAGGGAAACAGGTCCGCGACGTCGGAAGTGGTGAAGGAAAGTAGTAAAGGTGAGCAGTCTGGAGTGTGGGTACTGTTAATGGAGATTAGATTAAGGTATCTGCAAACCTAAAATGCCGTGGGAAGGGAGGGAAACAGGTCGGTGACGTAGGAAGTGGTGAGGGAAGTAGTCAAGGCGTGCTGTCCGGAGTGTGGGAACTATTAATAAAGATTACATTAGGGTATCTGCAATCCTAAAATGCCGTTGGAAGGAAGGGAAACAGGTCCGCAACGTAGGAAGTGGTGAAGGAAGAAGTAAAGATGAGCAGTCTGGAGTGTGGAAACTGTTAATGGGGATTAGATTAAGGTATCTACAATCCTAAAATGCTATGAGAAGGGAGGAAAACAGGTCTATGACGTAGGAAATGGTGAAGGAAGTAGTAAGGCTAGCAGTGCAGAGTGTGAGAACTGTCTAGGTGGCATTTATGTATCTGCAATTCTAAAATTGTATAGGGAAGGAGGGCAAACAGGTCCACAACGTGGTGAAGGAAGTAGTAAAAAACTGCTTTCAGAGTAAACTAATGATTTTCCCCGAGCAAAGCTCGGTCCCCAGGTACTTTTCTATAATGTGAGAAGTGCCTAGATCATTGCAACTTATTCTGCCATCTGAAAATCATACAATATTGCTGTAACAAGGCCTAGCTGTGTAACACCTTGTCATTCACACCAAAAGAATCTATTTTGATAATAAATGTCTGACTCGGCAGGTTCCGAAGTGTGTGTTGGCGGCTGCTACTCGGGGTTTTGAGTTCGGGACATCCAGAAAGATGGGTGGAAGAGACTCGGGTGGCTCGAGAGAGTTATCGTGAGCTGCTAGAAAAACATAGCGTGGACCCCCACAATGAAGAAACAGAAGATGACCCCCTGTCTCAGGAAGCTTGGGTGAGTAGCTACAGTAAAACCTACCGTGTGAGTGCTGTAGTACGCGATGGCAAGAGGAGAAAGGAGATTGGAAGGGGACACCAGCGACTGGTACTAGACACCATATAAGTGGAGACGTAGGAATTGGCTAACTCAGGAACTCGCTAACTCGGTCGTGTGTCGGAACTGGCTAACTCTGGAACTGGCTAACCGTCTCAGTCAGGAATTGGCTAACTCCGGAACCCGCTAACTCGATTTTGTCTCGCGGCGGAATTCGCTAACTCTGGAAGTCGCTAACCCGGCCGCGCCCACTGCACGGAGCGTTGCCAACCTTGTACGACAAAATAATCGTACACTGCCGTGTTTCAAAATGTCAGTGTCAATAAAGATACAGTAAATGTTATTGTTTTTGTTATCAATTCCACTTTTAACAGATAACTAGCCCAAAGTAATTAAAAGACAATTAAAAAATCATGAAAAAGTGTTCTTTTATAAACTGTTCAATCGCGAGTTAAATGTTTATGATTTCGATCTTAAATATAAATGCCATCAGTAGGCTATAAAATAAAATAATAGAATATGAAAAATATTGAAAATTCTGTTTAATTGGTACTAAATAATTAAACCTCTACGAAATTAAGCTAAAATACACGCAAGCTCTTAAACACGGAAAACAGATTTAATCGTAATGTCGTAATAAACCAAAACCATTAATCAATACATTCATCAACCATCGTAACTTTCATAACTAATTCATACATTTTAAATTAAATGTTCGTCGTTGAACCGTCCAACTTACGTGTACAAATATGATGACATAGACTAAGTTTTTATCTAGGCCTAATAGTTTGAACCAAAGCATTGTAGGCCTACTAGTAAATAGTTGCCTAATTCTAAAATGTGTTTAATTTTTTAGTAATAATGTTGCATGTTTTAAAACCGTCTTTAGATTGTACACCTAAGCACCTAGTAAAAAATAGGAGAAGATATAATATTCATATAATAAAACGTGACAGGGTTATTTTAATTCACGATTCTTAATAAACGAATTTTCCTGATTTGAGTGTTGGGTTTCCTTTATATTGCTTTCACAATCGATATCAACTATACCAAGCCATTGCTCGGTTCACCGTTCCCCGGTACTGAGCTACTCAATAGACAATAGCTTTGTTTTTGGATAAGATCAAGTAATTTTAGCTATGGCCACCATTCATAAAAATGGTAACAAACAAGAACGCCTGGGTCCATTTAGAACCAGCCTGGAAAAAAGCTCCAGACTTTTAAAAAGTAGGCCTACTAAAAGACGTAAAATTAATATTAATTCAACAAAATTAAGAGGATGACCCGGGTTCTACACTAATAGTCTACGATAAAAGAAATTTACAAGTTGTATTTATGCATAGACTAACTTTTAATGCAATCCATGAATACATTAGGCCTACCACTTTATAATGTATTGATAATTATTTATTTAAATTCAATAGCTCTATTTAAAAATACATTACCACTACAATTTAATTCTGTAATGACGTTTAACGTGTAAATTTTATTATGATTTATGATTCAAGGTTACAACAAGCCCAGTATATAAGATACGAACTCAATAATTTTATTTGCAGAAGTTCACAAAATAGTATTTATTCGAATAAAAGAAACAAATGGCGGACTACGAAAATAGATATTTCATAACATGTAATAAATCCAAATTAAATGTGCATTTTTATCTTTTTGCATACCAATAACCTACTATTTAAGTAAGAAACCCACACATAAAACATACTCCCTTATATTAGTACATTTCTCATCCTTACGGATCAGCTGAAGACAGTTGTATTGTTAGTTCTGTCCGGTGCACTGTCTTTAGAGGTCGTGTTTTGTTTACAATTGTTTCCTGTTTTCAGTCATTTAAAACCTCGTTTAACCAAATAAAACGTTCTAATCACAACTAATAAGACGTCCCCTAGTTATATAACCAAACAGTAAAGAACAAATCATTAAGTTAACTATAAAATAATAGAAACACAATTTTGTCGACACTAGCGATCAGTGTCACCGGACATGAACTAGACACGAAAAACGAGTTTCAAAGCTTACAATGAGATGTAAAGTTTACTTGTGTTGGTTAGTCTATGGTAAGACTATAATGCATTTTCCATCCTAATAATCATAAGAATAATGTTAAACATACTTGTAAATATTTTTATTTTATCGACTACGTTGCTCTTACTCCTAATAAATCGTAGGATACGACATTATGGTACTGATACGATATAGGTACTACACTTTCGGCAACACTGGCAAAAAATATTCGTGCTTGGCTCCCATTGAACGGCCCGCGAGGCTTCTGATTGGGAGTTAGCGAGTTCCGCCGAGGGACCGAGTTAGCGACTTCCGTACGAGGACGGAATTCGCTAACCCGGCTCTAGAGCGGGTTAGCGGGTTCCGGAGTTAGCCAATTCCGAAACCGAACAAGTTAGAGAGTTCCTCTCACCGACCAAATTTGAAGATAGGGTGTTTAACATGGGGTTAACGAGTTCCAGAGTTAGCCAATTCCGCGGACCCTATAAGTGTACCATTGAATGTAATTATCCTCTGTTTCTTACTTATCTATTAGGTTAGTTGAGCATCTAGGCTTGCAGCTACAGGGAATGTAATAAACTAAGTATATTTTTTATTGAAATTTTAATAGCTTACTATAAAGTAAAGTAAGTTCTTTAAGCAAATTTGATAAAAATATATCTATAAACTAGGAAACGAGTAAACTTAAACTACAACAGTTAACATATTCTCCATAAAAATAACATAGGAGTTTTTAATAAACATTTTTTCTGTTTAACCATTAAGGGTAAGCCTACAACAAAGTAGCCTACTACAAAATGGTTAGGATTAAAATGTAAAGATAGATAGTTAGATTAGTTTAAGATGTAAAATTTTGTATTTTGAAGGTAAAAGGGAAAAACTAATTTTTAACCCATAAAATGCAGTTTTCATACTCCATCCATGCTGGTTCCCAAACTTGTTAATAAAAATAAAATTAGGGTTATGCCTACATGTTAGTATTTCATCAAAATTGGATGAATTTTACTCTAGTTATTTGCCAAAGTACAGACATACACAATAAATGTATCATGGGAATAGTGTATCTGCATCCACTAATCCTCAGTACTGCACGTTTAACATGGGTTTTATATGGGCAATTGGAGTTTTTGGTTAATTACTAGAAAACGACCAAAGATAGGAGGTAGGTTTAAATTTAAAAGTTGTTTGTATTTACAAGAGCTTAAAAATGATACACAATTTTACATATGTTGCCATTTAACAATTTTCATTTACAAGGCTACCACCAACTTTAAAAAAAAATTAAATCATAGAAAAATTATTTAGTTTTTAAAATGTTGACTTGTCGTATATCAAATTAAAGCTGAACCTACGAGGATTAAGAATTTTCAAACAGAACGAAAATAAGTTTAGTGGTTGTCAAGATACAGGGTATTCTGTAAGTATCAATATTTTCTATAAAAATTGCCGCCATTTTGAAACGGAAAAAGATAAATGAGTTCTGTTTTCACTAAATTGTTTGTCTAGTCTAAAGCTTTAAAATGATGCATAACATGACATATGTTTACATTTGAAAGTTCTGAGATTCGAACCCATGACCCCCAGTTTCTTGAACACTCTGTATTTTAAAAATGGTAAAAATATTTTTACGTTGTTCCTTGGGTATGAATTAGTGGGGAAAAGTTTTCTTTCATCTCTGTATGTCAAGCCGTTCGTCTGAAATCTGTTTAGGACAGCTTAGAAGACTCACCCTGTATACAGATAAATTTGAACCGATTGTGTTTTTAGCCTCTGTGGACGTCAAAACCAGAAGAAAAATCGGTCTCGGGTCTTTTAGGTCTTACCAGTGAGACCAAAACATGACCATTTTTACCATCATAAAATCTACAACATTATAATTTCTTATCTAAATTGCTTACTACATGTGGGAGGTGGAGAATTCATCAATGGAATAAATAGCTAGGTTTATTATATAATATATATATATACACAGTAATTTACTGAACTTTGTTTGATCTGTTTCTTTTGCTATATAAAATTGTTGATACAATAGAGTCTCACAAACTCAGCGTAATGTGGACTGGACGGATGCCGAGTTTGTGAAATCCCAGGTTATCATATGAAGTTGGGGCCCATATCGCATTATCAAGTATAATACTCGACACACACTTACTACACAGCCTGATGTCAAATATCCAATTGGTTTCCCACATGTGGTGTGTTATAATTGTTTTAAATTGCTGCTAGTGCATGATGACATAGTTAAAAGACTTACAATCTATGAATTACACACATGTTTTAAATGTGTCTTTGTGACAGCTTTATCCAAGTGAATGCAGACAATACTTATGTAAATGTCTTTAAATAATGGATATAAAAATACTCCCTCCGCAGCAAACTTGCGGACTAAGCAAATTTCCATTTGCCTGTATTTAAATATAACACTGCATTAAAATCTAAAAAATAATCTATAAAACAATCTTTTTACACAACAATTTTAAATGATTTAAATTAAAGTTTAACCATCTCAGAACATACCGGCATTGACTATATATACCTACTGTAGGTATATATAGTCAATGATACCGGTAAGTTAATTTCTTAAAAAAATAAAAAAAAACAGAAAAAAAACATTTATAATTTACAGATTAATGGCCCTCAACAAAAGTATTGTGAATATTTTTATTTAGTTAAAAATGTCAACTTTGTATAACTCTTATCAATTCGAAGTTGTAATTGATTAAAAAGTAATTTTACAACATTGATTCATGAAAAGTCAACAATGTCATAAAATCAAACTTTAAATATTTTTAAAATTAATTACAGTCCTTAAAGACTCAAAACTAATAATTTGTTACAGTTATGGTTCTCCTTTGAGACTTAAACACATTCGCCAAACTATTCGCAAGATATTAAGAGTGTAAAGACCTCCGCAAATAACATATGTTTTTCTGCTAGAGCCCCTGGCACCAGTACTTCTGCAACAACGATCTGCGTTTTGTCATCAAACAGGATGTGATCCGGACATTTCCTGGAGTAGATTTCTTCCGGGATGAGAGAATACAGGAATCCATGGTCAATATATTATTCTGCTACGCCCGTGACCATCCCACCATGTGCTATAGACAGGTAAGTGTCAACGTCAGCCTACATAAGCCGTGTAAAATGTCCCGCTCTCAATATCCATGAATAATATTCATAGACAAGCTTTCATGGTCAAAAATTGTAGATCCTTTGTAGTTACTGTGACTACAGCTGTTTCATACTCGGTATGAGTAAATTTTCAGGTTTAAAAGTCAAAGTCGTCATGGTAGTTGGACACAAAATATAATAACACCAAAACATAGAGACGAAACAGACATTTAACAAAACTAAAATCAACTCTGCCAAGTAGTAATAGCATATTATGCGGTATCAGTAAAAGGCGAGTCAAAACTATCACAGGTTACTCCTTCCTTGATTCTTGATTCTTGATTCTTCCCCCCCCCCCTCTCTCTCTCTCTCTCTCTCTCTCTCTCTCTCTCCTCTTCAGATCCTTTTGTTTGGGGTTGGCTATTTGATGAAATGTAAAGTTTTAAATTATATCAAATTCAAACTATTGTTTTTTATCAAAGCAAAGGTTGGATGTTCTTTGTTGCTCTATACAGATGATCCCAAAAATGGGTAGCAGGCTATGCAAGGAATTTTACCAAAATCGAAAGACCAGTATTACTAAAACTTTCATTGTGAGTATTTTTTAATTTGGCAGAAATTACTTTTTCTTAACATCTTATCTGCTTTTAAGAAAAAGCCTTGTGACTGAAAAGAGATTTGTAAAAAAAAATAAAATCTTTGTAATTTATAATTTTTTAAATTTTTATATTAGGCCTACACTTACTTTGATTATTTAATTACCACTTTTTTGTAGACATTTTTACTGTGAACAAAAGGGCAAAAAAATTATTACTTAAGGTTTTCTTTCTATAACAATTACAGTAAAATTGTGCAGATTCAGTAAAATTAACTGCCGACAGAGGGTACTGCAGGCAGCACATTAATTCAACATTAATTTTTGTACAAAAGTTATGAAGAAAATTAAATTTGATTTGGCGGATATATCCATCTGCCACCCTTAGTGATAACCACGAAATATGAACACTACCAATAATCTTGAGTATTCTTGTGGGTGGCAGACGGATATATCCGTCAACCTTAGGCTATTCCTTCCCTCGTTTTATTTTTTTTCCATTAACATGTATCTATCATTCTCAAGTAAATCTAAACCACTCAGTTCCGCTCCCATGTCCTCAATCCCATTCTCCGCCAAGACTTCCTCTACGTAAAGACTGTTCTTCAGGTTCATCATATCCATCACATTCCATACTATTATTTTCACTAACACTTGGCAGTATGTCCACTGGTGCCACTTGGTATGTCTGAGGGGGGTTTTATACTTATAAAACCCCCCTCAGACATACTTTTACTAAGCATCTCGATAACATCTTTAAATATCAGATCGTTTGCATTAGTAACTTTAGCTCTAAAACATAAAAATATAGTACAAAACACAAAATGTAAACATCACTAACAACAACAACCATGTGTGAAGTGACAGCAATACTTACTTACGCACACTCTATGGTGCAAAATAGCTGAAACAGCTGCGGCAATTATTATTGCCAACCACAAAAAAGAAAATAACCCATTTATAATCCAGTGTAATGTTTATAAACATTGTATATCAATTCGTTTTTTGGACGGATAAATCCATCTATAGCCCAGAATATAAATTTCTTGGGACGGATACAGTATAGGCCTATCTGTTTTCAGCCCAGAAAGTAAACAAAGATTGGCAGATATAACTGTCCATATCCGTATATATTGGAAGGGTTAAGTTGTAGAATACAGTTTATGTATGTCAGATAGTTATGATAATATGTATAGGTAGTGCTACAATATAGTTGGTTATATTTACAGGGCATGCATGAAATCCTGGCCCCGCTATTATTTGTGATACATTGTGATCATCAAGCCTACTTGCATGTACGGGACTTGGACCAAATCAGGTATGACAATAGCTTGGATATACTTATACAGTAGATAATAAATTGTACATGTACATCTTCTACTATGTTTAACTTTAACATTATTTGAACATTTTGGGATAGAAAAAAATCATGCCCCAAAGACTAAAAAATGAACTAGTTGGGTGATATTTTTCGGTGTTGTGTGAAGAGTGTGCTTTTGAATAGGTTTCTAGCATATCCTACATTAAGTTACAACTTATTATGTTTTACGTTATTGCCAATCCATGGATACTCTTCCAGCTAATTCGATTGTGTATCCTATATTTATTTTGGACTAATGAAATACCCAATTTTAGCTTATTAGTCTGTTCTTTCTATTGTTTTATTAAATTTTGTTAGTTTTCATTTGCTTAATGTTATGTTTAGGTTTTTGTTTTCTTTTTTATTTGGTCAGTTAGTTTATGGTGACTTAGCATAGTTCTTTTTTACACTGTTTGCCCTCAAAATTGATGCAAATACGCAGATATTGGACCTGCATGCTAGTCCAAAATAGAGTTTGAAATTTAGTTTGAGAAATGATTAATGAATCTCAGAAACATCGTATACCTTTATTCTATACTGAAGTAACTGGATGAATTCTTCCTACGATAAAAAAACCAATAAAAACAGTGAACTGCCAAGTTTTCTTGTTTAATGTATTCTTATCATTTTTGTTCTATTTTTAGTGAAATCATCAGTGACCTTTTGGATCCAAAATATGTTGAAGAAGACAGTTAGTAAGTGTAGTTAAGCATAAGTATAATTAAGTAGAAATGCATAAATTTATACTAGGGATTACGAGATTGGATTTTTAGTTCAAGACAGGATTTTTTTATTTTTCATCAAATTTTGAGACGAGATCTTGACATTTCAATCTGATTTTGTAACATTGTGAAACACCTAATGATTTATGACAGATGACATAGTTAAATATAAAAATAATAATAATAGTCAAGAATATTTTAAATCTTTTATAAAAACCCTGATAAAAACACCAGTAATATAAAAATAAGTATCAAAAAAAGTAATAATAACAAAATAAGTTATAAAATCAAGTATTAATAAGGCCTACCCTATTAAAAATAACTCGTACGCATAGGAAATATGGTGATATCAGTTTAGAATATTGTGTAATTTTGAAAAATAAAATAATAAATACTAAGGAAATTGACAGGAAATCAGGCTTACCTTTGAATACGTCCACAGAGACACATAAAATACACAACACAAAAACGTCTCTATGGACATATGTAAAGGTAAGCCTGCTTTCCTGCCCATTTCTTTAATAATTCCTATCTTTTATCAGATAAACTTAAAAATAATAAATATAAAATTTATCAGTCTTACTAGTTAAGTATCAATAGTAGAATTTTAAAAGTACCAAATTGATCAGTCTTAAACATTATTCTTACTAGTTAAGTATCAAGTTTTTCAGTCTTATGTTATATATTTGGAATGATTTTGGAGTGACTTGTTTTCGCTATGTTTACAGTAGTGAAACATGTCTCACACTGCTTACACTTAACCAAACTTCTCATCATTTGCAATGTTAAAACAAAAAATTATAAAAAAATTAAAGCAATATTTACAGGGCTGTGCGAATAGTTCGAAAAACTGGATTCGGATTCGGAATCGATATTCATATTTACTGGTAAGAGATCCGGGTTCGGATTCGATATTCGAATTTCTTGGAAATAGATCCGAGTTGGGATTCGATATTCAAATTTACTAGATTCTGATTGAATATAATTTTTTAGACACTAAAAAACTACTTGTGCACTCCCGATTTGCTGTTAACTGGTTCATGTTAGGAACCTGACCAACTTGGTGTTAGGCTTTAGGCACATTAGTGTAGGTCGCATTTGAACCCTATCTTGGCTATCAGTAAACTTAACCTCACAGTGTTAGTTGTTACTTGTAATAGTAATGCAGACATAGGCTTGTGTGGAGGATTAACACCGAGGTGTATAATAGGCTGGGCCTATGTTTTAGACTACACAAGTTGGTAGTCCACCACTTTTAGCGAGTAACTTAGGCCTAGGTGGTATGCCTAACTTATGCCCAATTTTTTAGTTTCAAAACTTCAAATAGGTAGGCCTAAATTTTATAACTTTTTTATTTGGCCCATTTCAAGAATTTTTTTAAGCAATTCCCTAAGTTATTTCAGCCCCAGAAAATGTGGTCTAAAAATGTGAAAATTGGTACTGCTGACTTTCCTCGGATTTGGATTCGACTCTGAACAGGTTTAAATATTCGGATTCGATAACAGCTTTAAATTTCAGATTCGGATTCGATCCAGGTTCGATAATGGCTGTAAATTTGAGATTCGGATTCGACCCAGATTCGACTTAAAATATTCGGATTCGATCCGGATTCGATAAAATCTGTACAGCTATGATTCGGATTCGGATTTGAACCAAAATTTCTGGATTTGCACAGCCCTGAATATTTACATGTAAAGAATTAATTTAATAAGAACGCCTTCGCAAAGGAAACGCAACAACAACGCGCTCCTGTATTGCGGGTATTGCGTTGACTCTCTGCAGGCGTTTTTATCTGCTTTTTTTATCTTGTCTCAATCAAAATAAATAATTCAGTAACCTTGTGCATTTTACCCTTCTTGAAATGGGGTAGTAGGTTTATTTTTTTGCGTTGTATGTGATAGTACTGAGATGCTAAATCCAAATTATCGACCTCGGCGACCTTCCGGATCATTGCCAAAAAGCGTAAAAATCTGCAGAATTTTGCACTTTTTTTACGTTTGTCCAATTTTTACCCTGAAGCATCACTTTTACATGAAAACAACTATAGTCATTTTAAAAGTAGATTATATTAAATTACCAATAGTTTAAGACCAAATTGGTTATTACAGACCTAAGAGCACTAATAGCCTGTTGACACTATTCATGTATGTAAAATGTATAAAGTGAATAGAGATAATTTGATTTGATTTGATGTGATTTGATTAGCTTCCAAGATTTATGCTCTGCAAATATTTTGTTAAAGTTTGGATAATTTTTACCCTGAAGCATAACTTTTTCACTGCAACAACCATGACTATTTTAAAAGTAAGCGTAACAGTTTGCGAGATATAGTTCTTCAAAGCTCATATAATCTACCATCAGGACAGATCATATCACTGATACTGCATCATAGTATATGCATTTGTCCCTATATAGAAGTGTAATTTTCTCATTAAAGGTCTGATTCCTATCCTGCAACTGTTACGACTCTAAAAATTGACTGCTTCAATGCAAAGTAAATGCAACCCATTCATATCGAGCGTCCATAGCCGCGCGACTGGAGCCACTAGAGCTGCGCGGCTCGAGTCGTCACGACTCGACTGCTGTGTGAGGAGTCCAGTAGCTTCAGTCGCGCGACTGTAACAAATTTATAGTTTATAGTACATACGGAGTTTGAGGTGTGTACCTTCATAGATGATTTAATGTTGATGGAATTGGTTTGTCATCACCCATACTTTTTCAACCCCAATACATGAAGAAGATGTCTCTGAATGAGAATACTGTGAAACCCCTCTTTTCTCCGTACCATGAACAATGGATTAGGTTGTTCATTGTTTTTTACCATGCACATTAATATTTCCTTTTCCCCCTCTTCTCCAAGTTATATATTCGCTGCCAACCGTGCTTATTCCATGACGGTCAAGAGTGCAATTGCACTAGTCACTAGTCGTGGGCGGCATAGGAATTAAGACAAGCGTCTCGAGCCGTACGGCTCTAGACGTGCGGCTGTATCATTCGCCGCATAGGAATTGGACCTTAAAGGTAGCTGCACTCTCTTTCTCCCCAAAACAACTCCTCAATTTTCTTTTTCTTAACTCCTTAAATATAATTTTTTTTTAATTATTAACATTAACATAAGACGGCTACAAGTTTTTGATGAAATAAAAAAAAAATTCTTCATCAAGACTCAAGAGCATAAGGATCTGTATGGCCTGACGATAGCAATATCCATTACCTTTAACTCCAAATTTATTTGGCAAAATCACTCAATTGGCAATTAGCAAATCACTAAAGCAGGACACTTCTCTACACTGTCAATCCCAGGATCTGAATGGTCATCTCATCCCTAGCCCATGAGGGATCCCATTTCCTCCCCCCTCTCTAATCCCCTAGGGATGGGAAAACAGCTAATTTGATCCCAGCTGATCGATGAAGTCACGACTCACGAGTTCACAAATCCTGGCGCTGTCAGGATTCCCAACGTCAAGGCAGCCGGCTAGTGGTTGAGGTTATGTTGTTGTTTACCTATGTCGACTGTGAAATTATACGGCGGAACTTTTATTATCATTGCTGGTATATTCCAAAATGTATAATTTCCATCAGTGATATGTAAAATTCAGTGTTTGACCAAGTGTACACATGTTATGTAGGTATTATACTCGTGATCGCGATTCACCACCCTAGCCTGCTTACCACCTTTGGCCATTCTTCACAAATGCTTATAAATTATTAGGTATGGGGGTTACACAAAAACAGTCTATCACCTGTTTCGTACACAACAATGTCGTTGTATGACTTATATACATCAAAAACAGAGTCAACAGTGATTTTGCCAAAAGTGAAGTTATCCCTATTTCAACCCTAGGATAGGCCTTTTTCGGTCACCCTTTATTTGAGCAAAACTATAATCAGACAAGTTGAAATTTGCTTAGTGCTTAGTTACCTGGAGGGGAACTTTGTAACTTTTCTAACTGTTTATGTGTTTCACAGCGCTCTGTTCCTCAAAGTGATGTTTGCAATTCAAGGTTACTACCACATAACTAATGTTGAACTGTCCAGCACTGGTTATTTCCCAACCGATTCCTCCCCCTCAGTAAGTATCTAAAAGTGGTTAACTTGTTTGCAAATAAATATTAGCAATTTTTTGTTTCTCTATTAAGACCCTATCAGAGAACAACATATGTTCAAATATACAATAACAATCACATTCTTAGTTGGCTCAAGAACTCGGCAATATAATTACATTTTTGTTGTAAGTAAACTGTGTATAAAGATAATAAAGACCTTATTTATTTATTTATTTTATTTATGTATATTTAAAAACAGTAAAAGCTAAACAAATCTGTGTTGGAGTTTTTTGTAGTTAAATTATAGTTAATTCATATTTTTAATTGTTGGTAAAGTGTTGACCAATTACAAACTTAAACCATCAACTTTTTACTTAACTTATAACTACAAAAACATCATATTCTTTCAGAGTTGAAAGTTAACTTTCCACAGGCAATATATCTCTTTCCCTTAAAACAATTGATTTTAAACAGTAGAGTTTTATCCAAACCAAAAGTCGGTTTTTCAAGCAAGGGCCGTGTTTGCAATGCCTATTGCTTCTTAATTCATGAGGAATGCCAAAACGAGGCTCCTTGCCACTTACTACGGCGCCATTTGCTTGCAGCTCTATAGCTGATAGTGTACACTTTGCTGTGTGTCAAGAAATATTTTCAAAATTATTGAATAAAATAATAATAATAATAAGAAGATGACTAAAGTTTATTGCCCTAATGTAATAATAAGGTTAAGATAGTGCAGAAATGGGTTAGTGTTGTTTGTCTTTAATTTTCACTGGGTAAGTTTTAAGACTATTTATTCAAATTTAAACATTTATACCATTTAGTCTACTGAAATATAGCAACAGGCTGCAGTTGTTGAGTCGATATCTTGAATTCTCTGTTGGGGATGTAATCCCACTTAAAAGAGAATAAACAAAGAGTAACACTTTTGTAAACGTTGGCATAAAATATATAGCATACGTATCAACAGTTAGGGAGTTTAAAAATGGCCGTGAAAATCATTTTTCCTTTGTGGTCTTCTGTGAGAAGTCTGGTTACCCATCAAAACATAATTTCTTTTTGGAATAGACATTTTCAACCAGGGCAGATACAGCTTTCCAACCCTTCCATGGGTTTATTGCACCTAGGAAACTTACTCTCATCAGTCATTCAACGATTGATTTTGTAAGTACAAGAGTTGCCTGTAAATTAAGGCCTCCAAGTGAGCTAGTCCAAATCCGACACCAGCATCGTGAGCTGGTCTCCCCTAGGCTACTCCTGTTGGTCTCCTCGTAGTAGCCAATTCCGATGGGAAAATTGACACTCACGCCAAGTACCAATTTACGTTCTATTATTATATTTCTGTGGAAGGAGTAGATCCATCGCTAGTTGATAGGTGTTTATTGAACAAATTTTATAGAAGTATAAAAAGAGTGCTGATTTGAGACCTTAAGCTATGGACGACCCTATGGGTTAAGAGTTGTGTCTTAAGTTTTTTGATAGTTTAACTAATGTGTTTCCAGAGTCCTTTATGTGAAAACCAAGTGCTGCAGCAGCTGAACTGGATCAAAGATCAACTCTTGGCTCCGATTGATCCAGAGCTTCATCAGCATCTCCAACAGCTTGACATTTCTCTTCCTTTGTTTGGAATGTGAGTTATTATTTTAAACATTTTTGGAAATTTTTTATGTCAGTAGCACTTTTTATCAAGGAATATTACATTCTTTTAAGGTTCAATCCCTACAAAGACAGAAGATTTGTGAGTTACATTGCAACAGTACACTCACCTACCTCTATCCCCGCATGCACAGTGGCAATCATGCACTATTAAACAGCATGCTATAAAACTTTGTGGGGTTTCTATACCTCATTCCTGACTTAGCTGCTTTCAATGTTTATAAACTATTGTCAAATAACCGTCCGGATTAAGCATATTATGAATTGATCGAGTCCACATTAATGAGGTTTTACTGTAAATAACATTATATCACTGAGAATTAAATTGAAAATGCTTTATTGAAACATAATTCACTAGGTTTGAACATCATTAATTCCTGTGACATTGGCAATGAACTAAAACCAGAAGTGCAATTCACAAAAATGTTCATATAAGTGACTGATCAATGTTTGAAATCATTGTAATTAAGCTTTGCACCATAAAATACAATGTTTGTGAGATTTACAAGCCTGTTAGTTAAATTGAACATGTCACCTCAGATTTTGTCAATTTTAGATTCAGTTTCCATTTCCAGGTTTTAAAATATATAAAAAATTCATCGTCAAAAGTCGATGCCGAGACCTGTCTGTAAAGAGTGTGCGATTGTAAAATTACCGCTTTCGACCCAATCTCTCTTGACAACAGTGATGAATCCATGACCGGGGGAGACAAAATGCTTATGTTTACACGGCCGCAGGAGATATTCAGAATTTTGCTGTGACCGTGGGAGACAGATCAGGATTTTGTCGCGATTGTGGAAGACGATTATAATGTTAACATGACCATGGACTATGGAGTTCATGATTCGCCGCGATCGTGTGAAATTATGATGATATCTCCACGAGCACAGAAGAGGAAAATAATTTTTCCGCAACCGTGGAAGACAATAATTATGTTTCTTCTATAACCGCTGAGCGATATTCAGGATTTTGCTGCAACCAGAGAAAACAGTGATGATGTTTCCGTGACTGAGAAAGATTTTCATAATTTTGCAGTGATCGCATACCCATTGATTGCAGGAGTAATCACAAATATCATCTCGAGTTTGAATTGATCGATCGAAAATATTAGGTCGGTTATCCCTCTAGTTAATAAACTTTTTCTTTTTGATATTTTTTGTAACAGGTAGGCTATCTTCATTTTCCTTTGATATGGTATTTATTTATGTGCTTAGAAGGGTTTTTCCATTTGTGCACTATATTTTTCTTTACCGTAAAACACCCTATTACTCCAAAACGAGTTTATGGATGGACATAAAGACAGGGGTTGGTTTAGTATAACCATTCCATAGAGAAAAATCCATTGTAAATACAGTAGAGTCCCGTTAGTCCGAAATGGTTGGGACCGGGCCCATTTCGGATTACCAAATATTTCGGATTAAACAATTTTTTTTTTTTTTTTGTTATAAAAAAAAATTTTTTTTGTCTTAAGGACGCAGGCCCGAGCCCGGGATTGTTTTTCACATTACTTAAGGCTAGACCTACTGGCTGCAGCATTATTACTTACAGTAATAAAATCCATTTGTGATTTGGCGGACGAAAATGAAAAAATGTTAATAACAAAAATGGTGAAATATTTACTCAAATACTCTACAAAAAAGTCCATCTCGCCCGGCCGCTACAGAATACTTTGACGAGGTACAGCTAACTGTATTAAAAGTTTAATAAAAAACTTCAAACAAAATTCAAAAAATGTTTAACATTTTAATTTTTTTTATAAAAAAAATATATTTTTTTGGTTTTGGATTAAGCGGACTTTCGGATTACCGAAGTTCGGATTATCGGGACTCCACTGTACATATAAAAGATTATTAGTGGTCATCGATTTTGATTGGACACTCCAATCCCCAATTGGCGAATGACATTTGCCGAAATGGTGCGAAATCGATCACCACTAATCATCTTTTATATGTATTTACGGTCTTAAAAGTCAACAGTATGAGTGTATATATATATATTTATTTTGTCACAGTCGATGGTTGAGGCTACTGTTTGGCAGGGAGTTCCCTCTACAAGACCTTCTAGTACTATGGGATGCCATCTTTGCTGAAGGCACCGTCTTCCAACTGGTAGACTACATTGTTGTTGCTATGCTCATCGCCATTAGGCATCAGTGTGAGTTATGTTACATGTTAACAACAGGCTATTTCAATCCGGAGTTAGAGAACCGATGTCTTACAATGCACAATAGTTTTTATCACAATCATAACATAATCTGATAATCTACTTCCTTGCTGATCAAATAAAATAAAATCATGTTTTTTCAGGAAGTAAAATACACTGTTACAATACTTTGTCAGTACAAATTTTATAGTTATGCTATAGTGATGTAATAATATACTAACATAGTCATTAAATATGAAATGCCTCTCACATAGGCTACTGCCCATGCATGAGAGATTTTTGCTATCAGGAAATAAATATTAGAAATAAACAAAAAACTGATATTTATGGAACAACTACAATAAAAAATAAAAATATATACAAAATACCGGTAAGACAGTTTTCTTATTTGGACAATTAGTGCAATTTGGACTAATAAAGTCCAGACAAAATGAGACTATACCTCCTCGCACACGCACACACAACCACACACACAAGCTCTCTCTCTCTCTCTCTCTCTCTGACAGACATACACACACACACGCCAACTGCCTTCGACCACAGTTATTGCTTGGACCACGACCAACAGACAGGTAGCCCTGCTGAACACAGGGCCAGGTTTGTAACACTATTTGCATCGTAAATGCTTACTAATAGCAAAATTACACATTTATAAATATAATGACTAGTTCATTGAAATCGCAAGAAACCAGGTTAGTCAAAATTTGGTGCCATACATATAAATTGGCTTGGCAGTTGACAAGTTAAAATATAGAATTACTTTTGCATCAGATTGCACATGAGAAGAAGAAGAGTGTTCTCACTGGATCTTTAGGCATTTCATTGAGTAGTAATATATAGATAATCGTTTTGAAAATACACTATTATTCAGTTTTGTTACTGTAGAAGTTTTGCAATTAAATTGACCTGACTCAAAATTATTAATGTTTGATTATAATTGTACTCTTACTGTTTGTTATTGCAGTGCTCATTTCAGACTACACCTCGTGCCTTACTATGCTCATGAGATATCCAGGAACTATGGATATATCCTGCATCATCGACCATGCATTGCACCTTAAAAACCCACAGGTAGGGCCTACTTGAAAATATAAGTAATGCTCAAATACAAAAATCCCAAAGTGTAAACATTTATTTATAATTATAATGATTAAAAGTATATTTTTTATTTATTTTCAGTTGACTGTAACAGTCTTAGTCTACATTATGATATGGTAATTAAAATGGCAAAATGAATACTAAATCATCAGCTGTTGTAATAAACTTGAAACGGTCATTACTGCGGAAGCCGTAGACTGATCTACATTCCAGTCAGTGAGACACAAGTAAGGTCACTAGAGCAGCAAAAGTAGCACCGGTATCACTTAATGGCTTTCTTCTCTGCTACTTATTTACTTTATAACCCCTTGACACCATTTCAAACGAACAAATTTGTACTTTGACGGGTAAAGACTTTGTTGATCAATTGAAAATGATTTCATATTGGAATTTCTCATCAAATCTTCTATGTGGGTATTTTATTTTTCAAAGTTTGATTAAGATTCTTTTTTGTTGCAGAGCTACAAACAACCTACCCAGACAGCATTCCCCAATCTCATTCCAGTGACAGTGGGGGGAAGACCAGATATGCATAGAGCTCCAAACCACTATCCCAGACCTCAGAAACTGAGTGAGTCCACAACTCACAAGACTAGCTACATTACCACCAGGTAAGTTGCAGAATCTCATGAGTTGTAGGATTGAAATATATACTGCTTACGCATAAAGTAGTAAAGTACCATGATGAAAACTTTCCCCAAACAAAGTATTGCTAACTTGGGCTTTGTGTTTGTATAAGGAACCAGTGTTTCTGACTTGTGTAAACTGTTTATATTTGATGTATTTCAGGTTTCTACAGCCGATGCAGGTCGCTTGGCCAGAGACAACTGAAGATTTTGTTAATCATTTTTATTCACCAGAACCATTCACTTAATACAAATAGTGTCGTATATTTTTATGTTTTACATCACAAAGTGTTTTTACTGACTATTCTAAAAGTTTTATGAACACTTCTACAGTTATATTTTCTTGAAGTTACCATCATGATTTTGTTTGGTTTCAGCTTGATTCAGAGTGCCAATTAAGTTTATATTTCAAATAAAGTGTTGATTCCAAAATCCCAAATTGTGAATAAACCACCATATTTTAGCTAACTATACAATAGACAATAGATAAATTCTTTATTGAAATATTCCTTGAGAACATTCATGCGTCAGGTACAATTATTACAGTTATTTGCTATTACAATTAGCATTTTTTTATAACAGCTTATTGTTTAGGAATTCATCCTCTGAGTACAATGACCGGTCCATAAGCAGAGATAGAAATATTGTCAGGTGCTTCTTGAACAGATTGGGTTGTTCTCTCTTAAGGTGCTCTAGTAGGTTGTTAAAGTAGAGAGCACCTTTATAGGATGGTTTCTGCTCGTACAGACTCAGATAGGGAAATATTGGCGGCATGTCGTGTGTTGTGCTGGTGTATGTCTCTGTGTCTTGGCTGCGCTGTTGTAGTGGTGTGGATAATGACTTCTCTTATGTGAAGTGAAACTGATGTCAGAATTTTAAGGTTCTTGAAAGCTTTTCGACAACTGTCTCTATAGTTCAGGTCGGCCAGAATCTAATTGCTCTTTTTTACTTTAAGAGTACTCTTTCCAGGTTGCCTTTTGATGTTCCACCCCAAGTCGCAATGTCATATCTGAGGTGGGACTCAAATAGAGGAAAATAGGCAACCCTGGCTACTTTTGGGCTGCAAGCTTGCTCGATCCTATGTATGACGTAGAGACATGAGCATAGATTTTTGCGGAGCTGGTCTATGTGGGGTTTCCATGACAGCTTAGAGTCAATTATGATGCCTAGGTATTTTGTGTTTGTAGTCCCGGTATTGTAATGTCTGTGTTTTTGCGTTAGCCTCAACAAGCCACCTTCATTCGAGATATTCATGTTTATTTCTGAGTATTCAGATAAAAAAGACTACTTCTATCAGACAACATTTTATTTTTTAATAATTACGTATTTCATAGGTAACAATATATTTCTGCATACTGTGATTCCACGTTCAGACCAACTAGAATATCAAGATAGTGGACTACTAACGGTACATTTGATACATATTTATTAAGGAATTAAGTTTTCTTTTGACAAAAGATGCATTTTCTTTTAACAACACCTGTGCAATTGATATTAAGATGTTTGTAATGGTATTCCAATGTGTTTAAGTCAATCCAAGTCCTTTGTTTTAATTATAAAATAGTTAAACCACAATGAATGTCGACAGAAACAGTATAAGAGTTAGTATTTATCTATTTGTGTAATGCATTCATAACTTCACTCAGTGTTTAATAACATCTTTATTACTTTACAGACTGAAGAAGCTATCAACCAGAAACGCCAGTATCTCTGATGGCTCACACGACAACTCTAACATAATTGATGGCTTCACACTTGATGTAAATAAATATCTCTTTATCCAGCTTTTCAAAAATTAGGACTTAACAAAACACAAATGTATAAAATAAAATACCACATTTTTTTGTTTTGAGGTCCCCAGAGGCCAAACCCACCAATATATACTGGGTGTCCCACAAAGAGGTTTAAACGTTTGATTTCATTTTACAAGCCCATACACCTAATTTTTTGAAACTACATAATTTATAAAGTAGATTTAAAAAAAATTTTGAAAATTTCAGCTCCCTAACCCTTGTAGAAACAAAATGGTGTCACATTGAAAATGTTAAAAACATTAAAATGGTGTTTTTTGTTTTATAAAATATTTGTATTATCACATTATAGGGGAATAAAGATTTTAATCAGGGAACTAGAACAAAGCCTAATAAAAAACCTTAAAGTTGAGTCCAAAATTATTCCATCTGTGATCCATCCATAGCGACACACTAATAACAGCGCTTAACAAATGAATCGTCAACCAAATGACAACCTTCATGGCCGTTAGATTGGTCGTGGAAGTGATTTTTTAGCCCTGATCTCCAGATTTAACTTTGTGTGACTTATTTTTATGGGGTTACTTGAAGGCTCAAGTTTATACTCATAGCTTCAATAATGACGAGGAACTAAAACGATCAATTGAAGAGGAACCTCTCCGGATACCGCAGAATTTCTTTTTGAGAGTTTACGATTAATTTTCAAATCGCTGTTATCAGTGTGTCGCTGTGGATGGATCTCATTTTGAATAATTTAGTACTCTACTTTTAGGTTTTTCATTTGCCTATGTTCTAGTTTCCTGATTAAAAAGCTGTATTCCCTTATGATGTGGCAATAAAAATATTTTATTAAACATGAAAAACATTTTTAAAGTTTTTAAAGTATAATTTTTCAATATGACACTATTTTATTCTACGAGGGCTAGGGAGCTGAAATTTTCCCAGAATATTTTCAGAATCTACTTTATAAATTGTGTCATGTTTCAAAATGTTCAATGCATGAATTGGCAAATAATACAATACCCCCGCTGCAGCAAACCTGCCGACCAAGTGAATTTCCATTTGTCTGAATTTATTTCAAATTAAATCTATTTAAATAACATTGGGTTTAACGAGTACCTAGGTTTGCTGCGACAAGAATACTAATTAAGTGTGGTTTTAAGTAAAATATTAATAGCTTTGTATAAAAAAAAATTGCCAGGTTTGATCAAAATATATCCATAAACAAGCAAACTACATTTTACAATATTCTCCATAAGAATAACATAGGAATTTTAAATTTTTTGAATTTTCTCCGTTACCAATGTACAAAAACACTTCGACATATTAAATTATTTGTTTTTTAAGGTCTTTAAAAAGGTCTAGAAATAAGGCCGGGCGCGCACTATCTTGACCACGACCACGACCACGACCAAACGCCCGACCAGTGGTTGTCATTCATCATGCGACCAGAGCACGACCCGACCAAGGCAACGAATGTTTTACAAACTTCAGTGTCAAGATGATTGTTGAAGAAGTAGTTGTTATTGTGCATTTGTATTGTAAGTACGTTAAGCGGAAGAAGACACTATACTGGGTATATCCAATGTTAACTGTCAGGTCTGAAAGGGCATTTTGCAACATTTTATGAAGAGCTACGTCAATAAGAAGACAGGTTTCAAAAGTGTCAAAATCCTGCGACATTTTAACAAATGAGTCACTTCACAGACCGGCGCAAAAAGCTAGTGCTCACCATTTGATTGGTCTATGAATACTGGGGGTTGAGTGGTGTCCTGGTCGGGTCGGGGGTAGTGCGCGTCGTCCCATTACATTGTGTGCTATTTTTGGCTGCAACGACCAGCGGGTCGGGCCCGACCAAACTGGAAAATTTTGGTCGTGCGACCAGGGCCCGACCAGGGTCCGACCAGTCGACCAGTGCGCGCTGTTCCATTTATTCCTATTATAAAACTGGTCGTATCCGACCAGTCGGAGTCGTGGTCGTGGTCGTGGTCGGGATAGTGCGCGCCGGCCCTAAAATTGGGAAATTTTGTGTTTTGATTGTAAAAAATTAAATAAACCAATTTTTACCCCATAAAAACCCCCTGTAAAACCCCGTTCCCATCATGGCCCAATCATGCTGGTTCGCGAACTCATTCAAGTTTACTCTGCCTTACATCTTTAAACCAAATTTAATCAAAATTGGGCAAAAATTACTCAAGTTGTTGCGATCACGGACACATATACAGCTATATATGTATACATAAATTTGAACAAAAAGTGTTTTTGGCTTCTGGGGACATCAAAATGACAAAAGTAAATCAGTCTCTGGCCTAGGTCTTACCGTGCCACCTATGGTAATAGCTACTTCACCATAGGGAAATTCGCAACAAAATTAAACATTTAAACCTATTTGTGAGACACCCTGTATATATAAGTTCTGAGATATTTTAAGAAGAGAAATAACCCGTGACAAATGAAATCATTCAAAATAAAAACGAGCTTCCCGTTCATTGTCCAAGTGTGAGATTGTGCAGTTGCAGTCAAGTACATTTTGAATGCGACTGTATTAGTTGAAGCATTTTGAATGCGACTGTAGTAGTCGAAGCATTTTGAATGCGACTGTAGTAGTCGAAGCATTTTGAATGCGACTGTAGTAGTCGAAGCATTTTGAATGGTTGGGATTTTGATTGTAACCCTTCACAATGACACATCACTGCTCACATCCACATGACAGGAGATTATACAATAAAGAACACATACATCGTTCAAGTTTTTCATGCTCGAGATAATTTGAGTTGTTAAAAATTCCTTTGTTTGGACAAAATGCTGTAAAACTCCACATATTCAGTGAGTTTTCTTGAGTTTTCATGTCCTTTCATCTGGCCACTTCTCAAAGTTCAATTTTTTTTTACGATGATAAGACCTCCTTCTGAAGACAAGTTAGTGTTAGCAGCCTTGTGGCCTCTTAAGTTATTCCTCTGTTTGCATTAATTTGTCTTTAAATAAAACAAAATATATCCCTTTCAAAACTTGAATCCAAGACACAAAGCCATAGAAGTTTATTTTTGCTATAATCATTGTCAACCAACAATAACCTGGGGAGAATTATCGTGATAAATAGTCTGAAATTCTGTGTTGGTCTAGATATCACTGTATTGCGTATTGCAGGATCCTGGGGTGGTTCGTAGTGAGCTCAAGCATTGCCGGGCTGTAATGTCGTTGGTACAACTGAAGCTTGCTCAGTACCACAGCGTCCTAGAGCAATGTGTACCTCACAGTAACATTCCAGCACAACAAGCACTCACCGGCATCCACGAGGTACTTTTATTTTATCTAACTACTTCTTTATTGTAAGTTCTAATTTTGTTATGATTTACATATGGATGTGCAAAAAGTGATTTTCGGATCAAACCGAATACAGTTGATTTCCTATTGTCCACGATAATGATTGGCTAAATGATCGTGGATAACTGAAATTGTGGATAATGCAAACCTAAACAAAAGTGCTCAGAAAACAATTAACATCGACTTTGAATGTATGGTGAATCTTTTATACCAGTTTAGGTTAAGAATGAAACATTTCAAATGCACTCTTCAAATCCTTTAACTTTCTTTTGCATTATGCCTATGTAAATTTTACAAAAAAATATAGTAGAGAGCCTAGACCTAGTAATAACAGTACCCTCACCACAGCAAACCTGCAGATTAAGCGAATTTCTATTTGCCTGATTGGATTTACACTAAAATGCCTCCATGAGAATATCACATTTATTCCCTATTTAAATAAAATTAGTTTAACGAGTACTTAGGTTTGCTGCAACAGGGAGGGTAAAAAAGGTTTTTTTTTTTAGTAAAATGTAAATATTTTAGTAAGAAATGAATGTATTTTCCAAATTTGATCAAAAAAAGTTCTTAAACAAGCAAACTACAACAGTTGTCTTACTCTCCATAAGAATAACATAAGAATTTTAAATTCACAATTTTTTGGAATTTTCTTCTTAACCATTAGGCGCATAATAACGCTTCAATATACTAAATTATTTGTTTTTTTAAGCTCTACAAAATGGTTTGGAAAGAAATTGTGAAATTTTGTTTTTTTAGGGTCAAAAATGGGAAAAACCAATTTTTAACAACATAAAACCACCCATAAACCCCCGTTAGTCCGATCATGCTGGTTCGCAAACTCGTTAGAATAACTGTAGGTTTACACGTTTATACCAAATTTCATCAAAATCGTATCATTTTTGCTTGAGTTATCGTGCTAACGGACATATATATATATATATATATATATATATATGAATTTGAACGGATGGTGTTTTTGGTCTCTAGGGACCTCAAAACAAAAAAGTAAATCAGTCCCGGGTCAAGGTCTTACCATATGTGGGAAATTCTCTAAAAATTAAAACACCCAAAATGTAGTTTTATAATCAATTGCCCGTTGGTGAATGGTGAAGTAAACAATGGCAACTATATAGTCAGTCTGTAAAATGATGATTGGTCTCCTCATGCTGAACATCTTGGTTGTCACCTGTATAACATAGCCTACTAGGCAATTGTAGTTAATCCACTCGTGGATTATCATGTGTCTACTTACTTTGTAATATTTATTATTTTTACATAGAATATTTTCATATGAGTATTTATATTGTTATATTGTTGTTGTGTGTATATTGTTATATCTACCAAAAGTTTCCCAATCACCAAGTAAAAAAAATCAAGCTCAAGGCGAGTATTTCAATTTGTGATACAAGAATCAAGAATCAAGAATCAAGAGTTTTATTGCCATTGACCTTTCTTTGTACAAAGGAATAGACATAGTCAAAACACATACAAAATATTCCAAATTAACAAATAAAATACAAAGGTTTACAAAATACTTAGTTAATTAAAATACAACATATCTAGAGAATATGGATCATGTAGATACACATCAAAATTCAATATCAACTTTTGTTTTTAGAAATTCATGGATGCCATAGAAAGGATTACTTATCAACCATTCACATAATTTAAATTTGAATATCTTGAAGGATACAGTTCTGGCCGAATCAGGCAATTTATTAAAAAAATTAATGCAGTTTAGTCTATGACTATTGCTACTTTTTTTAAGTCTATGAGCTGTAATGTCTAACTGTAGTTTATTCCTTGTATTATGAGAATGAAAATCTTGTCTTATGTTAAATTCATGTAGGTTAATTTTTGTATACTGCATAATTTGATAAATGTATAAATTAATTATTGTCATAATTCTAAGCCTTATGAAAAGAGGTCTGCAGTGATCCACAGGACCCGCTCCACAAATGGTCCGAATGACTTTTTTCTGTAAAATAAGAATTTCATCTGAATAAGACGAATGCCCCCACAGCATTTGTCCATAGGAAATATGTGACTGAAAAAAAGCAAAATATGCCGTTCTTAAATAATCAAAAGTAACAAAATCTTTGAGTTTCCAGATTAGGCAATTAACGCGGGAAATCTTTTTACAGATGTTTTCTATTTGTTCTTTCCAATTTAATTTAGAATCTATACAAAAACCCAGCAATTTGACTGAGTGTTTTTCAATTTCATTGGAGAGGCCAATTAAAATATTTTGCGTTTTATCCTGATTACATTTAAGCTTATTCGCTGAAAACCAAACAGAAGCTAGGTTTATGGCTTCATTGGTCATTGTATTTAGAGTATGAATGTCTTTATGAGTGGCGATTAGGGTAGTATCGTCTGCATATATTACAGAGTCAATCCCAACATTTTGAGGTAAATCATTGATACATATTATAAATAGAAATGGTCCAAGGACCGAGCCCTGCGGAACACCAGAGACCACGTCTCTTAAGCCAGATTGCTTCCCACCAACTGAAACATACTGCTTTCTATTACTTAAGTACGAATGAACGAAACCTAACTGTGCATCCTCAATGCCATAAAATTTGAGTTTACTAAGCAAAATGTTATGAGGAACACAATCAAAAGCTACAGTAACAGAACGCATATTCTAAGAGCATAATCAAAAAATCTAGCTTTTACTGATATTGAGGATGAAGAAGCTAATGTTTCCGAGATCACGGGAGACAATATCTGCGTAATTGCAGGAGATGATGATTATGTCAACACATCCACGAGAGATGTCCAGGACGGCTTGAGGTCGGCTTGATCTAAAATCTTGGGCTCGCACACTTCTACTAGATGATCAAACAGGCCAACACAAAGACACACATGGACACCTTCTTTTGAAGATTATTGGGAGGGCCTCTCGTTAAAGTAAATAACATAACTTTATAAATTACTAAAACAAATAAGCCCCGAGGGTATAATAATCATCTCCCACGATCATAGAACAATTTTGATCGTCTTCCGTGATCTCAGTGAAATTGTCTGATCCTGTCCTTTTCCCAAACCCCCCCAAAATTCTTTGTCCCACAATTAGGTCATAAATGACTTAAGTCCCATCCTGTTGTGATTTTAGTGATTCCCACAAACCTTCTATAAGAATAATGATAGTTTTTGGGAAGCCAAACCCTATTCTTCCCCAACATTGGAGGGCTCAACCCCCTCTAGCTTCATGGAGACATGAGGATGTGTGGACGCGGCAAACTTAAATATTTTATCATCTCAGAATCCATCACTATATATGTTTGTTTCAGCTTTGTTCATTGTTGGACCCACATCGAGGAAGTCCGTCCCCTTCGGTCTCAATTGAAGTGGAACCTGCCTTTGAGGTACCTCATCGTAATTAACCATCTTTTACATCTTCCTACTCTTACTGCCAGTATAAGCTGGCAATATAAAAGGTCATAAGTGGGTTATCATTTGCGGGAGGCCCATCATGAAGTTTATGTGAAACGCTTCTTCACACGTTCTATTTGAGATATGCAAGTGGTTTCTCTAATTGATCACAAAAACCATCCATAGTGGGTGTGCAAGTAAAATTTTCAGATGTGTTATATTAAGAGCTGAATTTCGTACACCTTTTTCCAAAACACCGTAGAACCTCGATAATCCAGTTGAAATGGGCGGCAATAAGCCAGATTTAGGAGGAGGTTGGACCATCGAGAGACCATTTAAACTGTGAATTAGATTAACCATTAGTGAATTTTAGGCAGCCAAATCTAACAGCAATGCTTTAATGTACTGCTGTTTTATGTTTTTATTGAAGAGCAATGATTGACAAAGTTGTGACAAAAATAATAACAATGAATAATCACAGTCTAGGAGTGATGAGCTCTTTTATTAGCAGGTGGCAGGCGCACATATGTGAGTTCTGTATTTCCAACAAAGATTCAAGATCCATTAATTGGTCATTGAACAATTACAATTATTATAATATACCACGTCAAAAACAATAGATAGGTCTAAAATCATTTAGTCTAATGAATATCAACACTCGATGGACTTGAATAGTCAATAAGTTAAATAATATTTCACGGTCAATAAAATGATAACAATGAAAACAAATAAAAATTTAACAAAAATTAAAATAAGAATATATCATTTTGTAAATGCAGTGTTTAAATCACCAGCAGCGACTTTAAAAAATGCATCTATATCATAAAAAGGTCAACTTACTAAAATTCCTGTTCTATTCTATGCAACACACCAGCACAGTTTAAAGTTAACTAACATACACTTAATGTACATGTAATAGTAACTTATTACAGAAGAACCCCTCTTATCCGGACTCCTCAGGACCAAAGCTAGTCCGGATAACGGGTTAACTGGTTAAACCGACGTCCCATAAAACTCGTTCAATTAGGAACATCTACTAATTATACATGTGCACGCCGCAAGAATCACTCGAAAACTAACCCAAATATTTAACTTAAATTTGGGAGGCACGTGATCACTGGTGTCAAATCTTTCCCACGATGAAAGTCGGTTTCATTTCCGGTTAAACCGATATGATGATAAAAGTTGTCCGAATAAGAGGGAGTCTACTGTAAACATTTTCACACTAATAGAATCTAACCAATTTTGTGTCTTAGTACTAAACAGATGAAAATTATCTTTGAGTTTCACAAAGAAGAGTCATCACATGAACAAGAGTAACAATATTATTTTATTAGATAAAGGTTTACAGTGAGTCTTAAGCCCAGATTTACTCTTGCAGCCTTTTTTGCCATTTCAAAACTTTTGCAACATGTTGGTTACTTCCCCTAGAGGCTAATCCAGACAGTATAATCAAGTGAAACAAAGGATAATAAGACATTCATTAGAGAAGACTTTGCGTAAATGTCACAGTTGACTTAGCCTGCTGCTTAGCGTACGATTCATTCTTGTATTTGCTTGTGTTTGAGACTCTGCTTCACGGCCACGTGTGTGTCAACGTTTGAACTTCCAACGGGTCAACTGTAGAGTACTATTGGTTCAATCTCAGGTATAGATTGTGTCAAACCACTAGCGACTCTGTGTTGACTCTTTCCCAAACTTGTCAGACTAAATAAGAACTTGAATGAAGGAAAGCTAGCGACTGACTTTATATGATACATATTCTTGACTCATTGTCTATGGTGGGGCAATATCCCCCTTTGTTACTCCAGTTATCTAGCAGTAAATGGGAGTGGCCTTTGGTATATTTTAGTTCCATACATATATGCCATATTAAATATAAATGAATACTAAAAAAATGTTATTTGCTTCTGCTTTATACCTACCACATAGCTTGTGTTGTTGGCGTTATTAATGTGTCTCTTGTATTGCTTGTATTTGTTTAGCAACTTACAAGCCAATTTATTTACTGTTCATTAAATATACATGTCTTATAACTTAGTAACTTTTAGTGATGTGTCTGTTACAACTTTTATCTCTTCAGTTTCCAGCCCTTTTTTTGTTTTATCGGTCGGTTTTTGATTATTCACCAAAATAGATTAAATTACCATCCACCTATTTTCTAGCTTGAGCCATACTAATGATAATTTTATTTTTGTTTGTTGATGGTGTTGGTATGTCATGTTGTTAAATTGTTGCAGTTAAAAGTTAATTTTCACTAATAACTGATGGAAAAATATTATATTTAGTTCTCTCATTCAAAACAACACCTTTTATGACTGCTTTCCAAGCATTCAATTGTTAAAGCGATTCCTGGAATTGATAATTCTGTATTTGCTTTGCTACCGTACCATGTTACATGCTGTATTCTTCTTTAGCTATTCTCTTTAATTATAGTTAGAGAAACAAATTTATTGTCGAAATAGTTTGAATACATTTACGGTAATTGAGACTTGTATCAGAGCCACTTACATCGTTCTAGGTAGTTTGATATTTTCTTACCACTTATCTGAATTAAAAGACAGAGAATTTCATCAAACTATGCAGTATAGTTGAATAATATTTCTAAAATCAATGGTGGATGTGTAACTATTTCATAATAGATTTAAAGATCCCTCACATTGCAAGGCACGGCTAAGTTTCGGCACATTGCGGCTTATTTTCTAAGTGTAACAACAAATGTTAAAACTGCAGAAAGTTAAGTTTATTTAACTACTCTTGCAACAAAGATTTTGACCAGCATTTCAATACTGGTGGTTAAATAAGTACCAAATATTGAAATATGCATAACAAACATTGTCATTTGTACCATCAACATTTTAGAGGGTGGATGGTAGGATGGTGGATTTAGAACTCCACCACAGCCTAGAGTACTGTAGCTAAGCAAACAATCATTAGTGCCACATAAAAGTTAACCCAACAATGTGTGCGCAGCAATTTAATACTGTGTGTTGGCGTCTTCCTTCAAAAACAGTGTGGACCCGGCCTTAGGCCCATTTAACCTGCAGATCATTTAGTGGATTTTACAGTAAGCAAAAATAAAATCATTATTTTATTTGTTCATTACCTTTTGTTTATAAAACACCCCCTATTGTTAATTACTACAGAAATGTCATCACCAAAAACACACAACAGCTGGTATCATATGGTAACTCAGCATACTAAGTGTCACTTTACCCATTCCATAGTTCAAGGCATTTACATTTACCCTCTTACCATTGATTATAGAAAAAGACAGTAAACACATTTAATATTGATTTTAGAAACAAAAGTCAACTGCATACAACTTAGGTTTAAATATTACCTTGGGCTTAATTTAAGTAGTTGCGTAGAAAAACACAAACACTAAGTAAACAAAAATGTACTTTAAGCTAATTTTGGACTTAGTGAAACGCTCTGCTTATTTAAATATTATACATTTGGACTTTGTGAAACAAGGTTTATTTAACATTTGATTTTTTTGGACTTAATGAAACTTGGAGGTAGTGAATTACTATGTTTATTTAGTATTTCACTTTTGGACTTTGTGAAATTTGGACTTAATGAACCTCACCCCTCAAAACTTAGGAAGCAGTGGGAAGCGAGAATAGAGAATAGAGAATAGGAGAATTTATACAAATCCTCCGAGCTGTAGTTTTTTTTCTGATTAGTTTAAGCCTAGCTGGTTCATTAGTGTTTGTGTTTATTGTGTAAATACACACACACACACAGTACCACCTCATCTTTATAATATTATAGATAAGTTTCTGTTTGATAGGTTGGCGAGATTGTGGGTAGTCCTACTCCACCAAACCTCCCCCCTCCATGCTCCAACGTTGACATGACTGTCTTCCGGGAGACTCAAGGATCTGTGATAGACACAACTGAAGATATACTGCGATCTCCTGTTAAGAGATAATATCCTTTACTTTATATGTATTTGTTTTCTTGTTTGTCTGTCTTTGTCTTTATCACATTTGTTTTGGTATTGTGAATCCTCAGGAAGTCCTCAACTTATTTTTGTGATTAGTTTAAGAGGTGTTGTTTATATTCTCATAGTGTTAATATGGTAATAACACATATAAAAAGCAGTAGAGGATTATACCATCAACTCAAAAGTCGTCTCACCTTGTGAAATATCAAGGAATTGTGCTCATTTGGAAAGGCAATAGTGTCCTAGGGAATATAGTAGATAAAAATAACAAGACATATTTTTATATTTAAAACTCAATTTATTTTACACGGTGTTGGTGTAAAACCTCTCACATTTTATGTTTTGTATTATTCTGAAAACAGGCTTTTAACTCGTACAATAGTGTAATGATTATGGTTAGAATGATAGAAAATTTTCTTGGCTTTCCAGATGATCTAACTTCCTTGTAGCAGCAAACATAAGTATAGGAAACATTTGAGTAAAAATTGAATCAGGCTAATGGAAATTCACTTAGTCTGCAGGTTTGCTGTGGTGGGTGTAATGTTTTAATTTTGTTTCAAAAATTTAAACTATAAGACTGAATGCGATCTTGGTTTTCTGTCTCTCTCATTATTAAAAGCCATTTTAATACTAGTGTTTCAGTTGTTTGGTATTTTGGGTTAAACAGAATACCTAATGATAAAGTACAGTAGAACCTTGATATTCGACACTTTGTGGACTAAAATGGTATCGAACTATCGAAATGTCAAACTATAGGGAGTCAAACCATTGGACATTTTAAACAAAGGGAGTATTCACAGGATAAAACAATCAAATTTAATGAACAGTATAAAACTGGACAAAAATAAACAAATTTATCGACTTTACATCTCTACTAAACGTTCTTTGGCTACAAAAATAATAATAGCTTTGGCTGTATAAAATAGTTTGTAATTTTCAACTACTTTTTACTGTGGATGTTTGAAAGAAGTATTAATTAATGGGATGATTCAAGTATAGATTTTTTGCGTGCACATAAACAATAAGATGGATTTAGTCAGTACCTTTGCAAACCCGTCATCGACCGCTGCCGACATGTTACGTATTCGAATCCTGGGATGCCTGTGTCGAACCATATGGAGTGTCGAACTATCAAGCTTCTACTGTACGTTCTATTGTTGTAGGTTAATAGCTTAATTATTTGTCATCGAAGATTAGGTTAATTTTTAATAGGCCTACTGTAATGTTAGTAGTACCCTATGTAGTCTAAAAAAAGTATTAGCTTTTTGAATTCTCTTTCCTAGATACTCTCATTAACTAATAAGTATAGTATTGATACAAGAAGTTAAGAACCTCCTGAAAATGATAAGTTTACAATATCTTCTATGTATGAGGTTTTAAATATTTAAAGTGAATAAAATATCCATATTGGTTTGATTTATGTTAATTTGTTGAGTTATTTTGTCATGCAATAGGTATTTAACTTATATCTATGACAGTAAAATATATGGCAACGTTTACAAATATTGTTTATTTAATTAATAAACAATTGTATGCTGTCTTTGATTGAAATCAAAGAATGTGCAACATATCCTGGAAATCAAAATTTGCATTTCTATAACTCTAGGACTGACGATCGGTCATTTTATGGCCGATCGGGGGACTTTGTTTCCTGCCATCAGTCACAGAATGACCGATCCAGTTTATTTTACATATATTAAAGCTCATAATTAACTGATTCATAATTAACTGATTGACTAGATTATCCATGGATGTAAAGATAAAGATCTTGGCTATCCTGCTAACTCAGCTGTAATATTTTTTATTAGATTAGCTTGATTGAATTCTTGTTTTCATTGTCTGCTGACTTGGAAATCCAAGGTCAGCTGATGAGTCATTTTATAAAATGTTTTTTAAAACATTCAAATTTTATGGAAAATTTACAACAAATTAGCCTATATTTATTTCCAAAATTATGGTTACGTTTTCACTATACAAATAACATAATAACACTCTCTGTTTCTTCCTGATTCAATTGATATACAATGTAGTACCTGGTATAACTTTCTTAACCCCTTAATCGCGACACACGCATTATTCCGTAGTAGTATTCTGTACACACTGTCGCGACGCACGGAATATCACGTGCAACACCCTTGTGGCTTTAAACGCGACGCCCGTGCTTAGACCATTTTGATGTTCTCACCTGATATATTTCGTTGATACAAGTCTTCTGCTAATTTCTTTCCATGGTACATTGACCCTGAGAATTGACAGACCAGTATCAAAGGTGATGTATCCTCACGATCGCAGCCCGTGGGAGACGTTCAAGAATTAGCCGTTGTCGCGAGCTATCAATGATGATGTTCCCGTGATTGCGGCCCGCGATAGACGTTCCGATTTAGCCGAGGGTGATGGTGATGTTTTGCGAGTGTCGATGAAAATGTCCCCGTGATGGCTTTCCGATGGGGATGCTTACAATTTCGGCACGGCCGCGGGTGACAATGATGATGTCCTCATGATCGCAGCAGTCCACGGGAGATGTTTTTAACACGACTTTGCCGCGATTGCAGGTGTTGATGATGATGTCCCCGTGCTTGCTGCTTCGTGGGAGATGTTTACGATTTTACTATGGTCACGAGTGACGATGATACACTCATGGTTACAGCTCACAGGATATGATCACAATTTCACCGCGGTCGCGAGTGTCGAGGATGATGTCCCTTTGATGCAGCCCGTGGGGGATGTTCATGATTTTGCCCGGTCATGGTCACGGATACCTATGATGGCTTTGACTTGGTTTAGGAGAGATGTCCACGATTTCATCTATGACACAGGTGTCGATGATGATGTTTCTTTGATGCATAGGAGATACGGTTATTTCGGCGATCGCAAGGAATTTCCACCACAGGGGGAGGGCCGCTCAAGAAATTTGGCCTAGGGTCGCAAGTACCCTAAATCCGGCACTGAATGAAGACAAAATGTGTCCAAGAATATAACTATAGAATCGGCTCTGTAGACCCACAGATATGATGCTAAGGAATGTTACATGTCTTAGGCACACCCAAAAGTGGTAAAAACTGTTTACTTAACATTTTGTGGATCTGGCAATACTCAATTCCCATGCAATATACCTATGTGTAATTGGCAAGAAACCAACACTGACAGAATTTCATTTAGAGCTAGTTCGCCAACTTTTAGCGGAAAACATTGAAGCTCAGACCTACAGTAAAAAAAACTGGTGGTTGTCCTTCCCCGAGTGATACACCACTAAGATTGACTCTGCGTAATTTTCCATCATGAATTCCTTCAACTGAAAAAAGTATACCTCACGTCAATATTATGTTTGCTGTCACACTACGCGACGTGAACCAGCCAGGCGGGAGTCGCGGTATCAGTACCAGGACTGCGCAGTCTCCTTGTGCGTAATGCCATGCCTCAGGGAGTATCATAGCCTGAAGAAATACTAAAAAGTTAAAAGTAACCTTTGAATATAGTGTACGGTATATATATATTTTTTCCAATATTTACTTCTTGAAACATCCACTCATGTGACCAGAAAACTAAATAAAACCCGTAAGTAAATATGATGAATAAAATATGTTATTATTTATTTATTAGTTTATTATTAATTATTTATAAAATTTAAAAATTAAATGACCATTTTCGTTAACATGAATACTATTAATATGTTTATTATAACATTTATCATAGTTAATTGCTTTAAAATGCGTTTTAAACTAGAATTCCTCAGAATGCTAAAAAACCACAAAAAATTGCAAAAAACCCCGTGCTGGGCCATTGGCGAGCATAATTAAAACACGCACCACTGATCGCGTCGAAACCGTACCACGCCAATTTACGGTTAAGGGGTTAACAATAATATTTTGTGTTCATTTTTAAAATTAACTTAACAAAATGTGCTGGCATATTAGCAAATCTAACTGGCAGTTCCAGGGTTGTTCCTCTAGGTATGACAATTTGTACTTAATGCATTTTTCGCCATAGTTTGTGAGCTTTTACTACCTATGTAGTTAAATGAAAAATTGTATAGTAATAAAAATAGTTTACCGCTGCAAAAGTTTTTATTTAATATGTATGTTGTGAGGTACCGGTAAATTTTTTAAAATACTTTTTACCCTTTGTTTGAGTTACAATCTGCTGTAGTTGTAAATTTTGCAGACTTTTTTTAAGAAATGTTCCTTATAAATAAAAATATTACATGTCCCGTTATTGAATGTTTTGTTTTTATCATAAGTTATCTTAAAATATCATTGAAATAAAAATACTCCTACATTTAGGCAAAATGAGATGCATGATTTTTTTGCAATTTGAATTTGAATTCAGTCTTCTGTTAGAGAATCAGTATTTAATGTATCTAAATATGGGTAAATCTGTTTGTATTTAATTTAAAATCTAGATGTAAACTGTTTTAAAATGTAATTTATTAATTAAGGTAAACAGTGTACGTATTTGAAGTGTGAATTGATTAGCTAAAGAATGGTCCATTGTGACAAAAAAATACTTTACCACAAGATTCAAAAAGTCTTTTCAGGTCCTAGCTTGTTTCTCAGTTGTTCTCAAGATGAGACACTTTTAATATTACAACACTTATTGTATACTATAAGAATTTTGTTTTAGTTTCTAATGATCGTTTTCATTCCATATTCAAGAGAAAGGATCAAGAGTGTTCTCCACTTTTGCTTTTTCTAGTTTCTTGGAAAGTATTCATTCTAACTTTTGAATATTATAGACTGTGATTAAATAATATACACCTGTAAAAAGTTTAATATATTATTGTAAAAACTATTTTCTTTATGCAATAAAAAGCAATTGTGTTTAATTGTCTTTTTCACCTTATCGATAAACTTAATTTGTGTGTTATACAGGGTTTCCGAGAACTCTAACAAATTTTTCAGGTATTATTCCTAGACCATAGACAAGTAAAAATATTATATTCAAAATTTCAAAAACTCAAAAGTTTCTCGTAAAGCCGCTATTCAGTTTTTTTTACAAAAATATTTTTAATACAAGAACGGCTTGTTGTAAAAAAAATGAAATTTGGTATATCTCCTTATTACATTAAGAACTAATAAAGGAAAAACAATTTTTTAGAGTGTTTTTCAAAATTGCAGGCGATTAAAAATGTTTAACGGAAATATCTCAAAAACTGCATATGAAAAAACGTCAACTATTATGTTTTTTTTTACAGAATTCAATTACAAATCTTTTGATACCAAAATTTTAAAAATCGGTTCATAAATAAGGGAGAAAACTCATTTTTGAGATGTCCAACTGTTACTATATGTAAAACCACTGCTAGTGAGCCACGTCAATCAGCTGTTTTATCATGCTTATTTAGACTTATCAGCTGTTTGAAACCATACATTGTTAAAATGTGATTATTTCCTGTGTGTTTTGCTTATTTTTAATCAGCCTGCTGGTCTAGAATTATTATTATTTATTAATTTGTTCAGTTTGTTCTTAATGGCTAGCTATAGTATTGTTGAGTATTGTGATATGCATTTCTCTATGGAGCTACTTTTGGAAATGCAAGTGAGGCGATGAGATTGTGGAGTGAATATTTTCATGGCACTTGTTTATGGTCCAGGAATAATACCTGAACAAGTTGGTAGAGAGTACTGGGACACCCTGTATAGCTCATTCTGATGTATTAGGTACTGAACATGGGGTTGTGTTATAAGCCATAATTCTTGTCAGTGCTCTCAAATCTGAAATATATTTTGCTTGAACTTTTCCATTTTCCTACATGAAATCATGGTGATAAGCTGAACATGATGGCATCATCTATTAACAAAATGTTATAAACTTAACAATTGAAGCTAATATGTTTACACCACACTACACTATTTTGATGAACTTCCCACACAAGGATTTAGTCCAGAAAAACAGCTGTTTGCCGCCAGCTTAATCAAAATGGGGTTTCATTACATACTACTGTACTGTAATGAGTTTTACCTGACACCAACCACCTGATTATACTCTATTTGGCGATGAGTGGTTTTAAACAAAAACATGGTTATTTGGATTTCAAAAGTTTTAGGGCGCCATTTTGTTATTAGTGGGCCGATTTTGGTTTTCTTTATGTCAATTTTTATGTTTCCTCAAGACCTGTAAAATGATACCAAACTAGACTATACTGTTATTTGAAATTTTTGAGCTACCCCCTACCCCCACTACCCCTAAGGACAAAATTGACCATCATTATTGTAGCCCCTCATATCTAAGAAGGTTGCCGCAAACAGATTTCAAATATCTCAAATGGTTGAAAAGTTAAGGGTGGGGGGTGCAAGTTACTTTTCAACCACCCTGTATAGAGAAAATATTCCAACAACATGGTAAATTTAATTAGTTTTGCGAGATCACTCAGTTACGTATTGAGTCACTAGTAGCCCATATACTATTGTATTTCTGCTTATCAAATACAATAAACTGTGAAATTAGCATTTTGAAAAATATTCAACACAACGTAACAACATAAAAATATTTCTTTCTATGCCAGCTTTTCCAAACACTTAGACCAATTTAATCAAATATAACTATTTATTTATTTTAAACTATCCAATTTATATTTTAAGAACGTTTAAAATTTTCTGAGCAAGATAGAAAATTCAATCTTTGGTTTGAAAAACTTTGCATATAAAAGAATCTATATTATTAATTCTGTAAGAATTTTTTTAAATTAAAATAGCTGATAATGACCAAATCCACCAGCAAATGGGAAATAACGAAAAATATCTTCCATTTAAAATGCGTTGGGGTTGAAAAACGTCTGCTTTGTTTACATTAAACATGTAATTACAAATGTCACAATAAGCTAATTAATTAATCATGTTAATTAATTAATTTATATTCGAATACCAGTATCCTCCTTAACTCCCAGAAAACAATTCAACAACATGATGCCTAAACATAATCATAGTATCAAAAATATTTCAAGTATTGCAACCATTGCAACTGTCGCTCCTGTTTGACCGATTGGAAACATCAAATATCAACAATCACAGATAGCTCGGTTTAGTAAGGGGTTCATAATCTGGAGGTCTCAGGTTCAGGGCCCCTCGAGGAAGATATTTTGTTTCTAGTTTTTTTTTTTATTTATTTGTTTTTACGAACTATTTAGTCAAAATACTCAACTGATAAATATGCATTTCATATAAAATCGTTATTATTTTGTGTTTTATGTACGATATCCCCATGTGATGGTTGGTCCTATGTGAAAACAATTTTTAAATTGTTGTAAAGTCAATTTTAAAATTGTTGTAAAGTCAATTTTAAAATTGTTGTAAAAACATTTGTTTAAATTCTTGTACAATTGTTGTAAAAGTTACCGCACTATAGTTGTAAAACAATTTTTGAACTATTAAAAAATTTGCTTGTTGTCAACTATACTCATATTAATAACAGTTTTAGCGAATTTCCCATATAGGGAATATAGCGAATTTCCCATATAGGGAATAAGCTATTACCGTAGTACTCATGGTAAGACCTGGACCCGGGACCGACTTTTTTTTTGTTTTGAGGTCCCTAGAGGCCAAAAACACCATCTGTGCAAATTCTTATATATATATGTGTGTCCGTTAGCGCGATAACTCGAGCAAAAATTATCCGATTTTGATGAAATTTGGTATAAACGTGTAAGCCTACATTTATTCGAACGAGTTTGCGAACCAGCATGATCGGACCATGGGAACGGGGGTTTATGGGGGCTTTTATGGGGTAAAAATGGGTTTTTCCCATTTTTGGCCCAAAAAACATAAAATTTTGCAATTTCTTTCTAAACTATTTTGTAGAGCTTAAAAAACAAATAATTTAGTATATTGAAGCGTTATAATGCGCCTAATGGTTACGGAGAAAATTCCAAAAAATTGTAAATTTCAAATTCCTATGTTATTTTTATGGAGAATAAGTAAACTGTTGTAGTTTGCTTGTTTATTAACATATTTAGCCCAAATTTGGAACATGTTTTTATTTCTTACTAACTATTAACATTTTACATAAAAAACACTTTTACCCTCCCTGTTGCAGCAAACCTAAGTATGTTTTAAACTGATTCTATTTAAATAGGGAACAAATGTGATATTTTTAAGGAGACATTTTAATGTAAATCCATTCAGGGAAATGGAAATTCGCTTAGTCTGCAGGTTTGCTGCGGCGGGGTATTATAAGTTTAAAATTGATATCAAAACAATGTTTTCCTCATTTTATTGCTACTTGGGGTATTATCATTTAATTCTACTTTTAATTCTATTCATAGAGTATGTGAAGTTATATTACAAAATTTTGATGAATAATTCTGCTGTCACTAAAGTGGATTAAATTGATTAACTTACAATTTCATTGTTGTGTCCATTAAGGTCATTTGATTTTTAGTTTGTTTAAATATAACAATAATTTGTTTTGCATTTGAGCTTTTTAGGAACTTGTGTCCCTACATGCCACTAGTTAAAAATAAAAACATGTAAAATAAAATTCTAGGTAATACTTTAAAACACTCCAGTCTAAAGAGCAAAAGGTGAAAGGGGGGGACAACATGGCAAACCATTTATTTTAACCTTTCCTTTCTCTGGAATCTCTCCAGAAAACCGACAGTGGAACATAAAATATTGTTTAAACAAATTCCTCCCGTATAAAGATGCAATACTTTGCCTTTTAAGGCAACACAGTTTTACCCCTATATTTCTTGTTTTAATACAATGTAAAATATAAATAAATCCGTTTTTAATTTTCATTAATAACGATCTCTATGAGAGTACTAATTTGCAACTCAATTAGACAAATATGTACCTAATGAAATGTCAATATAATGTGTTTTTTTTTATGAGTTATGTGAATTTTAGACTTAATTCCAGACAGAGTTTTAACAAGCATTTTATTGTTTGGATACAAATTTGTACATGCTATTTTGCAAAATATTTTAAATAGAAAATATGAAACGATACACTACATCTAGGTCTATATTATAAAAGGTGTATTATTAATCAAATATATATTTCCCCCAAGTTTTACTTTTAGTGGTTTCCCGTGTAGGGATAACTTTCCCATTTAGCTCATCAGGAGCACTATGTATGCATTTATTATTAGAAGACATATTGTTCAAACTTTTAATAAATTGTAAAGCCAGCTATGACTTTAGAGATTATAAATAGGCTATGGAATAATATTCCATTATTAAAACCAAGAGGCTATATGTGGGATTATATTCATAGTGATGACAACTGCCACAATATCAAGCAATGAATCTTATGACGAAGTTGTTGCCTCACTGGAACTATTTACGCAACATCACGTAGACGATTGGTCCTCAGGAATTTTTCATTTCTCTCAGCAATACTTGGTTGTAGGAATTACTTCCAAATAGAACGACAATGCATATAGACTGTTTGTTTTCTATTTACCAAATCTGAATTAATGTGTAGTGAGTGACAGTAGAAGCTCATTTGTTAAGTAGGCACAAGTTAATGATGTTGGTACTAATGTCTTCTATGTACACACATTTGTATTTGTCTTTTAGGTATGCACAGTTTTTGTTTGTGGTTAATATGTCAAGATATAATATTTATTTATTAGTTGAGAAAATAAGATACTAACAGCACATTTAAAATTCACATAATAAATAAGTGTGGGCCTATTTAATCTGAAAAATGTAGGGATAGTCAGTTAGGGAAGTTAAAACTGCAGTTATATTTAGTATAAAAATTAGTTAAGACTTTTATTTAATTAAGTGGCGGAAATTTTT